GGCTCCGGACGCCTGTGGTACAGCAGCTGGGGCGCTGCCGGTTGGTCCTGTAGCGCCTGGTCTGCAGACCAGGGGGAGGGGGAGCAGAGCAAAGCCGCGGAGCACGCGGCCAGCTGACAGCCCAGACGCGCCTGGCCGTGTGTTCCGCCACTTTGCTTCCTCTCCCTGGTCTGCTGGAGACCAGGGAGAGGAAGGGCCCCGTTCGTAACTGCGGATCCGACATAAGTCGGATCCGCGTAACTCGGGGACTACCTGTACTCTTGTCATGATTGATTTAACAAAGAAAAGAAAATTCAACACTAATCTCTTGAACAGCTTAATAAGTATTCCAGTAACAAAGGTTATGACAATTTTCCACCTTTGTGTATTGGTAAAAACAAATAATCTGTGTAATTAATATATAATGCATTTTAAAAGGCACTTAGATGTATTCATCTGGCTTTTGTTTTACAATAAACGAACAGTCTGGCAACTTTTCATTAGCACTTCATGTGGAAGGAAAGCTTACAGAGAAGGGAGGCAGGAGAAGAGATCACTAAATACAAATATACATTTACAAACTGCACATGATACACTCAAGGACATTTCATTTGGAAAATTGACACTCTAATAGGAAATTCAGTTGTCCAGAACTCAAAATTAGTATATATTTTAAAATCTCTTCAGCAAATTAAAACAAAAGTTGTCTGTGTAAAAACAAAAAAAATCTGGTTTATTTAAATTATTACATCATGAAAATCTCTTGAAAAAATTTAGCAGAGTAGTACTTAGAATAAAATATACAAAGGCTGTATGCTGACTTATATTTGATTATCTTTAAGCAATTTCTAATTTTTTTCTGCTTTGAAACTCATTGTTTTTGTTTTTTTCATGTTCCTAGAAAATGGAGTAAATGGAACAGTAACCTCAAATGGAGCAGACTCGCCTCGTAGCAGGAAGGAGAAATCATCATAAAACTGAATTTTATTAAGTTAACTGACTAATGTCCCCAAAGAATCTGCTTTTTACTATGAAAAGCCCTTCAGCACTAGAGATCTTACTGATACAAAATTACAGTTCATGCTTTTTGATTCTTTGCTATTGTTTTGTGAGACTTTTTTTAAAAAGAACATTTTGACTTTAAATAAAGAGTGGAAAGGTTATCTGTTTTCAACTGTTTAGGGGGCCACAATACTTTTAAAATAACCTTGAACACTTTTTTAAACACTGTGATTAATATTAATCAGAATTCCACTTACTGAGGATCAGTGATACAGTGTATTATTATTCCTTCGAGTTTTTATAATCTTGGTAATGTCTTGTTACAGCACCATCACATTTTTCAAGTTCTGCAAGAAGTATTGAAAAAATTGAAGAAAATTTAATATCTGTTTTTAGATATTCTTGAACGTTCAGTATATTACTTTGAATCAGATTTGCAGCTCAGTACTGGTTTTGTAAGACCATCAAAATTAATGTGCATTATTTTGTAGGTAATAGGTACGTTCGTTTCAAGAAATGCCCGTGTCCATTAAAACAAAATCTAACTAATGGGAAACATTGCAGTGTCTTATTCTCTATGTTGGCTGGAAATCTCTTGTATAAATACTTACAAAGAAGAAAATCTTTCTGATAGCGCTTTACCACTTGAAAAGTGGGAAATAATATGTTGTACAGAGAAGGGTGATTTGCATAGCACTATTTAAAATTAAGTAGCTCACAACTGTGAGCAGAGTACTAGTATGACAGCCCTGTTTTGAAAACTCATTTTGAGTCTGATTTTTTTTTTTTCAAATGGGTCAAATTTTTAATTTAGGAAATATTTAAATACTTTGTAAGGAGGGAGTTTTAGACAATTGAATCAAGTTGTGGCAAACATTCCTTGCTTTTTTTTCTCTTTCTCTTGTTTATCTCTTATTGGGAAACAGTTAATATACTACATATATGTTTTTGGGTGAAAATATATATACAGGTATCAAAAATTGAACTATGGGTGACCTTTGCTCCCATTAGGACAATTGTAAGTTTTCATTTTTGCCTGTTTTTCATAGTTTGAAGTGCAAAGGTTTGGCCAAATAATTACATTTTCAGTTTAAACTGAAATCAGTATTTGCATTCATATCTTTTTAGTCTGTAATATGTATGCACCCAGATTGTTTCATTCCAGAAGAGCCTACTTAATAGCTTAAGTGAAATTGCTTATTAGATAGCTTTTCAGTTTCTAACAACTGTTAGGACTGCTTATTGATAAATAGGAGCCCTTATGAGAAATATATTGAGCCAAGCAGATTAGAATACCTACAATTATAAATTGTGAGTGTATTAAACTGTGAGACCCAACAAAATAACAATAAAAACTGTATTTGCTATCTTTTTCCCATTTAATTGTTTACAGTTTTTTGTTTTGTGTACTGATACAAAATTTGGGCTGTACTTAATTATCCACTCTTAAATAATGTGTAGCTATTTTGATATGAATTATTGTAAATGTTTTGTAACTTGACTCTCAATTCTTGATGCAGTTCTTTCTAGGGAATGTTAAATTTAGATTAGTTAGCTAATCGAATAGTCGATGGGATTTCCATCAACTATTCAATTAGTCTATAAGAGTGCCTCTGCCTTTGAATTGTAGCAAGAGCACTGCTGGCCCTGCACTCCCTGCAGTGCCTCAGCTTTTGAAATGTACAAGAGCCTAATTGCAACACAAGCAGCGTGAGTGGAGACTGCTTCAGTCCCTGCTTGCACCGTTTCCTGCTGTGCCTCTACCTCCCCTGTGTCATCGTCCCCTCTCCCCCCTGCAGAGACGGAGCTGAGGAGAACCAGCTTTTAAGCTGGCTCCCTCCTCCACTGGCTTCTGCTTCCCCTCTCCCCCTTGCTGCCTCCCTCTCTGGTAGAGGCAGCAAGGGGGAGAAGCGACTTGTCGCATCACTATCCGATAGGTATAAGCTTATTGAATAGTTAACTAGTCGCTTACATCTCTAGTTGCTTCAGCAGTTCACCCTGCAAGGAATGGCTGGCATTTATAACTTTTTCTCTTGTTCTGTTCTAGTTTCTACCTAAATCAGGTGCAAGAAGTTACCTACTTTTAGCCTGCTTGGTTCCTGCAGGTCTGAACAGGTACACCACAGTGTACGGGGCAGAGAAAATATAGGGTCCTCTGTGATTTATGAAGTTGGGCTACAGCTGTGAGTCTGAACAAATGGCTAACACGATGGGGGGGATGTATGTGAAGAATTAGGGTGTAGAGAGATCTGGGTGTCTGTTCTTTTAATAGATATGGAATCATAGATGTTAGAGATAGGCAAGATGTATAAGATCATCTAGTCTGTTCCTAGCCCTAGTAACACAACTTTGTTCCTATGCTCAAACACATAACATCCTGTAAATTTCCATATATCCCATAAAGAGAAAATTGTACCCATTTCCAGCCTGAGTTTTTTGTTTTATCTAATAGGGATTTGGATACCTCCTTAAATACATTCTTGCCAATTTGTTCCCTGGCCAGTATGCTGCCTTGAAAGCCAGCTCTTCTCTATAGCTGGATTTAAAATGTTTTGTTTATACAGAAAATAGGAATGTAAGGTGGATACTGAGCAGTCATGAATGGCACCTAAAGTCATAGGGTTTGTGTCCCAGTGGAGTTTAGCTAATCTGTCTCAGTTGTTTCCATTGGCTCTCACATAGCCTGCAGGTTTGCAGGACCGTTTACCAGTGAAAGAGCCTTACACAGTAATATTCTTAATCTAGTAACAATCACCAAGCAGAATACACATGTTAAACATGCAATGACATGTTCACCAGTCCAGATCAGGCAGGCTGACTTCCCCTGTTGGTCAGGCAAGGTAGTTTCATCTGGTTTCTGGTTGCTACATGTCATGGCCATGCATGCATAGGATTCTGGCAGCTCTGTTCTCAAGCCAGTCTTTCTTGTACCTCAGTTTATATAGTAAAGCTTGAATCCTGCTTACCTATATCTTAAACAATCATTTTACTAAGATATTACAAAATAATGATTTGCTCAGTCCTAATGTACTGTGAATTTTTATCCAATCACACACTACCATCTTACAAGATTTAAGTCTTGCAAAACTATTTGTTGTATAACTAATCGAAAAATCAGATACCATAAAGGCAAAACAATAGAGAAGTAGAGAGTTGGTTAGTGATAGAATCTAGATAGAACATGAGGAATCTGACTTTCTGCTTCTTAGCTCTTGACTGTTACTCACATCTGGCTGCAGAAAAAGGCCTCACTCTTCAAACTGTATGGTGCAATATATGTATTTCACACTCCGGAAGAGCTAAAGGCTCATTCCACAAGCTTTCTAATTCTTTACTTATTTGTATGTCTATTTTAAAAGCAAATGTACCTGGAATTTTTATCATATAAGAAATGTTCAGTAGTTTGAGGGCAAACAAGAAGTCTACCTAAGGATGCTGAACTGGATCTTCCTGTAGACTTCCTACTGCTTGTCCAACTCAGAGTAACTTGTCCTATATGAATTGTATATGAACACCAAACTTTCAAAATCACTAAGCCTATTTTGTGCTCTCATGACCAGTATAAGATACACCAACCCATCTCCCTTTGTAGGTTCTTCTAGTAATTGCTCATGTGCATTCCAGTAGGCGTGCATGTGCTAAATGCATGATGGATTTTTCCCCTCATGGTACCTGTCAGGCCAGCTGTAGAGCCCCCTGGAATGGTGTCTGCATAGTATAGTAATAGGGTGCAGCTGGGAACTTCTTCAGTTCCTCCTTAATGCTAGTGATGGTTGTTGGAGTGTCTGTTCTCTTGTTCTGCAAGACCATCCTAGCTGTGGTGGTTTTTTTCCCTTGCCTATTACTTGTTTGCAATTAATTGATAGCTATTGGTCTCTCCCACATCACCTTTTGTTCATTTTTTGTTTCTTGTTAAGAGTTCCTTCCCTGCAGGGCATGCAGCAGGGGTTTAAGAACAGTATCACTTGTGGCAAGCCTGTGCCCAGAGGGGATGTGCATAGGGTTTGCCTCAAGTGCTTAAGTCAGGCCTGGGCAAAATATGTCCTGCAGACTAGATCAGGCCCGTGGAAGCAGTGGGGAACCCTAGGTAGGCTTCTCTGCTTGCCCTGCACACCTCTCAGAAACATGGCTGTTAGGCCCTGTTTCGGTTTCAAAACTAGAGAGGATGGGGGGAAGCTTCAGGAGCTGCTCTCACCCCCAGCACAATCCCAGAAACTGGCCAGTGGGTGCTGCCTCATTGAATAACAAGCAGCCAAGAAGAACCACACTTCGTGTCTAGGAAGGAGTACGGCAGAAAGGGATCTAGGGGTTATAGTGGACCACAAGCTGAATATGAGTCAGCAGTGTGATGCTGTTGCAAAAAAAAAAAAAAGCAAACATGATTCTGGGATGTATTAACAGGTGTGTTGTGAGCAAGACATGAGAAGTCTTTCTTCCACTCTACTCTGCGCTCGTTAGGCCTCAGTTGGGCTGTGTCTACATTGGCATGATTTTGCGCAAAAACTTGCTGCCTGTCTACACTGGCGAGGGGGTCTTGCGCAAGAACACTGATGTTCTAATGTGAAATCAGGGCTTCTTGCTCAAGAACTATGATGCTCCTGCTCAGGAATAAGCCCTCTTGCGCAACTGTTCTTGCGCAAGAGGCCAGTGTAGACGGGCTACATGAATTTCTTGTGCAAGAAAGTCTGATGGTTAAAATGGCCATCGGAGCTTTCTTGAGCAAGAGAGCGTCTACACTGGCACGGATGCTCTTGCGCAAAAGCATATCTTTTTGAAAAAGGCACAAGCCAGTGTAGACGTGCTCTTGCGCAAATACTCTTAACACACAAACTCTTGCATTAAAGAGTATTTGCGTAAAATCTTGCCAATGTAGACGTAGCCCTGGAGTATTGGGTCCAGTTCTGGGTACTGCATTTCAAGAAAGATGTGGAGAAATTGGAAAGGGTCCAGAGAAGAGCAACAAGAATGATTAACAGTCTAGAGAATATGACCTATGAAGGAAGGCTGAAAAAATTGGATTTGTTTAGTTTAGAAAAGAGAAGACTGAGGGGGGACGGGATAGCAGTTTTCAGATATCTAAAAGGGTGTCATGAGGAGGAGGGAGAAAACTTGTTCATATTGGCCTCTGAGGATAGAACAAGAAGAAATGGGCTTAAACTGCAGCAAGGGAGGTTTAGGTTGGGCATTAGGAAAAAGTTCCTAACTGTCAGGGTGGTCAAACACTGGAATAAATTGCCCAGGGAGGTTGTGGAATCTCCATCTCTGGAAATATTTAAGAATAGGTTAGATAAATGTCTATCAGGGATGGTCTAGACAGTATTTGGTCCTGCCTTGAGGGCAGGGGACTCAACTCGATGACCTCTTGAGGTCCTTTCCAGTCCTAGTATTCTATGATTCTCTCCTTGGCTCAGTTATTCACACAAGCACATGGCCGGCCAGGCAGGCAGGCTGGCTAGCTGGGAATTGTTTTAAGCTCTGCAAGCCTTTGCTCTGTAGGCAGGCAGGCTAGTTTGGCTGCTGGGTGGTAAGTGTCCTGACTAGAGCCTGCCTTTTGCACCCCAGCTTCTCCCTACCCCAGTCCTCTGCCCTCCTTTATCAACATACCCAAACCTTTTGTCCCCCTCTTGCACCCATACCTGATTCCAGATCTGGCACCCCAATCTCCTGGCCCAGATCACAATCCCCTCCTACCCTAAGTCACATCCCAAACTCTTGCACTTTAGTCTCCTGTCCTATGTCACAAATGCCTCCTTCACCCAAACTCTCTCCCAGACTCCATTCTCCCTTCTGCACCCAACCTCCATCCCAGACCCTGCATCTCCTCCATTTATATCATGGAAGAGTGCAACCCTTGAGCATTTCCCAAATTCTTGGACTGGTCCCCCCCACCCCATCAAAAATTATTGCCCTCCTCTGGCTTAGGTGAAAGACACTTAGCTGAGTGAAGTACTTGCCGGAGTTTCAAGCCTTGGACTAAAAGTAAGATCTGTGCTTGAACCTTTGTCTGTGGAGTTGTCTCTTTGACCCCAGCTGCCAGACCTGTTGCCATCTTCAGTGCACAAGCCTCCATGTGCACCTGCTATAGTGCAGGACATGTTGGCACCTCATAAAGAAGGCCTGAAAAAGCACCAGCCCAGCTCCCGGGCCTGCAAGGCGAGCTCCTCTCCTCAACACCAAGCTGTCTCCTGGCTTCTGGAAGCGCACTGTAGGGGAGCCACGTGCTGGGTAATGTACATGCAGTTCCTGGCATACGCTGTTGCCAGCGGCCCCTGAGGGGGGGAAAAAAACAAGTATGTAGGGGGGGGCGGGGGTTCTCACTGCTGCTGGTTTCCCTGAAGTAATGCTCCATACAGATGACCCACAGCTCTTTTGCAGTAGGTAACCTGGCCCCAGGATCCTCCCCATACCAACTCACCCCCACCTATAGCCATGATCTGCAGCTCCCCTCACTACTAGCCACCTGCCTTAAATCTCCCCATACCTCCCTCTGTTCCCCTCCAGTGGGAATGAAACTGCATTAATATCAATCAGTGTTATTGCTTTAATTACATGTTTTACATTCACAATATTTTATATCATAAATCCTCTTTTGGTTTCAGTTTTTGCACCTCGTCAGGTGGAATGTTCCTGTTTGGTCTGATGTGACGTAGCAGTACTCTGTCTGGGCCTCACTCAAACAGGCAGTAAAAGTGAATCCCCTTGCTGGAATAAAGCAGTTCTATATTCCATGTATAAATGGATTGGGACCACCTCCTTCACCCTTGTTAGATTAGTCTGTTGTGTCAGGTGCACAATTTACAGTAAAAACTATGTGGGGGGGAAAAGCCTTCTAAGAATATACAGGTTCAACAGATCCTATCAGGTATGTTTAAACATAAGGAAATAGGGGCTTGTCAGTCAATAAGAAGGGCAACATATGAAATAAAGTCATTCACAAGGAAAAAATGCTGACACTTTTACATGTTTTTCATGTGAGCTGTCTCAAAGAATGGAGACAAATGAAGCTGTTGAATTGCTGCTGGGTAAGCAAATTGAGACTCAGCTGCACCATGGTGTGAGATCAAAAATGCAATTTGAGGAGTTCAAAAATAAAAGTTAGCTTTTTGCTTCAGGTGATAAACTTGGGTGCACAGTATGTTGTGACCTTTCCAATTTGAAGCTGCATTTTGCAAGAGGGGTTAACATCTCTCTAAACGGGGCCTCTTGTGAAATATCCTCATATGGAAAGAATAAAAAGACACAACAAAAATCTGTTTGTGTAAAAAAAAAAAAAAAAAAAAAAAAAAAGTAAACGAGATCTGCAATTCACATGGATGCTGAGAAAATTCAAGCCTGGCTTAAAAAAAAGAAACAATCTGACTGCTAAAAGTGAACAACTGGCATCTGAAAGTACTGCTTGTGTACTCCATACCGCATACTACATTGCCGAAACAAATCGACCACTCAGTGACCACGAGGGCCTCACTGAGCTACAACAAATCAACGGAATTGAAATGGGGCATTTATAGCATAGCAGAACAGTTTCTGTAGATATAATCATATATCCACGGAAATGAAAAAGAAAATTGTCCAAAGTATCAGCAAGAATAAGTAAAAAATTACTATACTTGTCAATGAATCAACTACTTCCACTGGAAACTTAATTATCATCATTTATTTGAAAGCCAGTATAGATGGAATTATGAGACCAGTTACGTTTTCTCTGGACTTGAGCTGCAAAGTGTAACAGCAAAAGCCACTAAATGGAACATTTTAAAATGCTGCATTCCGGGTTCACTAAAAAACTATTAATGGAAGGTTGATCTGTTTTTGTAGTAATGGCACTAATGTGATGTTAGGAATCAAAAGCTGGTGTTTGAAAACCTACTGAAAATTGACTTTCCTAATGTGATATTATGGCACTGCCTTAACCATAGATTGGAACTAGCTGCTGGTGAAGCTTTAGAAGTCAGTGGAGGTATCAATGACTTTAAGGCTTTTTTGGATGCATTATATTCATTGTATGGTCAATTGCCAAAAACTCTCATGAACTGAGAGTTCATGCCAGTGAATTACACATTATACTTAAAAAAAAAAAAAAAAAAAATCTGGCAAAGTGTTTAAGGCTGGTGCTGTCACATGCAGCACAGTCAGTACAGTCTGGCAAACATAGCCTGCTTTGATAAAACACTTGGAGGAGGCCTCACAAGACCAGTAGAGAGTTGGAAGCAAACATGCTAAATTTCAAGGACTGCACTCAAGTTCCGTTCTGTAAATTTTATCAGAAACCTTTCTTTAATGTTGGATGTGCTGATTGAACTGAAGGACTTGTCTGAGGTGTTACAAGAACACAAAATGATCATTTCCAAAGTAGGCAAGACAACCTAATGAAAATCTACATCAAGAGAATCGAAAGACTAAAAACAGACCCAGGAGTTCACTTTGAATGAGCCCAGAAGATGGAACAATCTATGATGTTCAAAAACAGCAAACTAAACAACACTGGAAAAAGCCCTACAATCAATTTGTCTCAATTCGTTCAAGCAGTCACTAACAACATGCATGAGGACAAAATTATTCACTACTGCCTCAAACAAAGCTGATCAAAGAACACACAAAGGTAATTGAGCCTTGGGGTAGGAATGTTGCATTTTAGATGAGTTTGCAGATGATTACAAAAAAGATACTTAATTTAGAAAGTAATATGTCCAGGAAGGAGCTGCTGCATTTAAATGTAGGCTAAGTGCTGTATATTCATGTATACTGGTTCAAACTGGGCTCCCAGAGGAATAAACACTTTTTAGTTTTTCCCGCTGTGGTACAGGATTACTTTGCCATGGTTGTAGTTTCTAGCAACATTTATATTGTAGGCTATAATTTGGCGTGACTTGGGGGGTTTCCAAAGTCTCAGTAACTACACAGTTTTTGGGAGCAAGTGAGTCAATAAAGAGGTGCATCTTAGTTCAGATCACAGAGGTTTATGGTGGTGTCTAGAAATAAAAAAAATAGCTAACACATAAATATCTCTTCTCCATCCAAATGTTTAATTACTTCCACCCAAAAGGAAAGGGCAATTGGACCATTTTATAGCAGGTGGACTATATTTCCAACTGCACCTAGAAATATACTACAACACAATAGGATCCTGTATATTGTCTGACTGATAAAAAATTAGATTGCCCTGGTGTGACACACAGATGATGCACATAAAACAAATTCTTTTGCAAAATCTTTAAGCTTGAGCTATATTTATCAATAAATTATGGTGAAATCTCTGAAGCAAATACTATAGTGGAGTTTTTTTTAAGAACACCCGTTGGCCTGGGAAAAAAAGTTAAAATTGCTTGTGAGAAGAGGTGGGCGGGGACATTTGAAAAGTATAGAAATGGAGTAACTCAATATCAACTCTGCTCATATCAGTTTTCAGCTCTTTCTATCTTTTATATCTTTCGTGGAAAGGACATTATGATAAAGATTTAGGGAGACACCTACATTGTATTCCTAGACACCACCAAATCTACTTTGGTTTTGTGTTGTGTGATATGTTATTTTGATCCTTTGCCATCCTGCTTGCCAGTGTGTAAGTTACTTTAATTCTTGGGTCTTTAAGAATTTATTGCAGCAGATAACAGTAGCTATGTGCCTTTAACAAATCTGAATTCCCAAAGTCAGTAGTAACATCTGTGGTGTGAAATACTTCTGTGTAACAGTGCTAGTCAGATCCTAATATTGCTCTTATTCTAATAATGTACTATCAATTTACAATAAAGAGCATAAGTTAGCTTTTCCATACCCTGCCATGTTGCTGCATGATGGGAATGTACACAAGTTCATTGTCTCTAGTGATTAAATTGCAGTCTGCCTTAAAATGGTATTGCTTCCTCTTATTCTTGGTTTGCCTTTTCCTATAGAATAGTGAATGAAGATTATTAACACAGATCTTATCACAGGTGGTCCACCACTTTGTTTGCATAGAGTGAGAGATTTCTGTTCATTTGCCATTCAAATTAAGTAGAACACTTGTTCTTTTGCTTTCAAGCTATTAGCATGGGCTTGCAGACTATATTAAAGTATTGAATAGCATTAATAATGCATCTGTAATATGCCAAGGCATAATAAGGTGCTACATACATTTCAATCATGTTATATTTTATAAAGGTCATTCAAGGAAGTTCTCTTATTGTCCAGGACCTGGGAACAAGTGAAGCAGCCACATCCTGAAGAGGCCAGTGAAAGTTTTGCATAAAACTGTGCATCCTAGAAAATATTTTGCAGTATTTAATGGGTTTTATGGAGTGGTCCCACCAGTCTGGAAGCAAGCAATAACACAAAATTTTGATTTTGATTTTAGTACTGAATCTACATTAATTCAGCACTGTCAGGAAGCTGATAGAAAAGCATTCAACCAGCTTTTATATAGAAAAAATTCCCATAAACTTACTTCTAGGATTGATTGTATATAGTCGTTAGTAAACTTAATCTGTACTTAGCCTATACATAGTCTCAGTAACTATTCTAGTAGAATTTCTGGTCCCACTAAGGAATCTAGAAAGTTTTTTAGATTGAGACGTACTTGTATGACCTTCCGTTGTACCTGTGCATGAAACTCCAAGTGGTGGTATCCAGTATCGACATCACATTTAACACTTTATTTTACTCCCTACTTGAATTACACTTTAACATATTCATTTGTTGTGGATAAGTGTAGAAACTGAACTGCGTAAGATTGGTTAAACAGCTGATTTGATTCTGTACCAATCACAGATGTTACCCATTTTCTGTTCTACAATTTATTGGGAAGAAACAAAGGAAGCAAGTATGGCTCAAAAGCCAAAGGCTGCAAACACCTTGCACAAGCAAAGGAAAGGAGGATTTTCTTATGCGTCTATAAAAACAACCGCCTATGCCCCTGAAAATTAAAATATTTTAACATTCAGATGCAGATTTAGGTGAGGAACTTGTTTTTTTAAAACAAGCTTTATATCAAAATCTTTGAAATAGCGGTTTTGGTAATGGAGTTATATTTTTAACCACAAGAGGGAGTTAAAAATTTATCTTCAGCAGAGTGGAACTACTTGACTATAAAAGTTTCTAAGATTTTTTTTCCCCAAGGTCAGAAGTGTTTTTCACCATTCCATCTTTCTTTACCTCTGCTCAGGAATAAATACGGAAAAAAAACCTCAGCAACAGCACAGAACATGTTAGCATAATTGATATGGAATCAGACCGTTTTTAACGGGCCACTGGATTCTTTTTTTAAATAGACTAAGAAATGGATGAGTTGTATCTCATGAAAGCATATACTGTTATAAATCTTCAAGGTACCACCAGATTCCTGACTGTTTCTGCTGAAACTGATTAATACGACTACCTCTCTGACTACAGTCAATCTATTGTAATAAGCCATTGCAATAACCTTGGCTAATTATAGAGAACTATCCTTTGTCTGTTTCAATGGGTTTGTGAATTGATCCACAAAGCACATGTGTGGGATCGAGTCCCATTTCTGAAACAGATTGCCTCTTGCCCAGTGTTGGAGAATGTCTGCAGCAGAACTAAATGGGGAACTGACATTTCTTGACTCCTAAGTCCTCTGCTTTACCCATAGATCATGCCTCCCATTTGGATATGCATGTAAAACAGGAATGTTGGGTTTAAATCACCATGGATGTGCAAATCTAAAGAAAGGCCCAGCTTTTGTTTGCTGCTCAATTTGGCTCACAAATGCACTCTTAGTACATGTTTTTTATACTAGAATTTCCTGGTTGATAGTAGTAAGGCATTTTAATTTTTTTTGGAGTTGCTGTTGACATCCACCTTCCCATTAGTAGGCCCCACATACACTTCTATTGAACAATAATTTGGTATAACTCCACATTGGGTGACTGATCACTTGTCTGACAAAGCTTCTTGTCAAGCTGCCATTCAACAGCTGTGCAGTAGCATGTTTGCTCACAGTGTTGCTAATAAGCCATTTGATCACATCCTTAAAGGATGGGGCTCTTTAAAAAAACTTTGTGTCATTTGATGTTCCTTCCAGTTCCACCTCAGGAAACTTACAAACCTAGCAGACAGCACAGTGTTCTGTCAGAGCACACATTCCCATCGGTATTTTGAGTGGGAGAAATCAATTTTCAGAAAGAACATGCCCATAGCCAAGATAAATAGGCACCAAAAAATGAGCTTTCATTTTTGTTTCTCCTCAGTCCTGGTCACCTATCGATTCAACCTCTTTTCTGTACCTGTGGTAGATTCCTCTGTTTTCCTGTCTGCGTGCCTCCCTGTCTGCACACAGTGTTTTATCTAACCCAGCTTGTCATTGTTCAGTGCTAGATGACTTACTAAGTCCCTGGTCTGGCTATCAGTTCTAGGTCATCTGAGTCCCATCACATCTTTATAGTAGCCTGAATGTCTTGGAACAGGAGGTCAATTTTCTGAACTTTAAGGATCACTGGGTTGAATTTTAAAATACTATCAGGCTGTGTCTACATTGGCAAGATTTTGCGCAAAACAAAAATTTGCTGTCTGTCTACACTGGCTGCGAGTTCTTGCACAAGAACACTGACGTTCTAATGCAAGTGTTCTTGAGCAAGGGGCCAGTGTAGACACGCAACATGAATTTCTTGCGCAAGAAAGCCCGATGGTTAAAATGGCCATCGGAGCTTTCTTGCGCAGGAGAGCATCTACAGTGGCACAGATGCTTTTGCGCAAAAGCACATCTCTTGTGCAAAAGCACATGCCAGTGTAGACGCTCTGTTGCGCAAATACTCTAACACAAAAACTCTTGCGTTAAGGAGTATTTGTGCAAAATCTTGCCAATGTAGACGTAGCCAGAATGTCTGGTCAGTTCCAGGACCTCAGTCTGGGGTGAGTATACCAATATTCTTGGACTCTCCCAAAATGATATATACATTTAAATTGTGTGTGCATGTGAGAGAGAGAGAGACAGACAGACAGACTCACATGTTATAAAATGGGTGAGTCTATACACTTTACCTGAACTTTGACGTGAACTACTTGTATCCAAAGAGAAAATGTACACAGCATTGAGCCTTAGTTGGGTCACTTTTGCATCTCATGTTGATTATAAATTGTAGAACTGATCTGTACTACTGGCCATTCCATTAAATGAGCAGTATATTCTGTAATGGGCGAGGTGTTCTGTTTTCACCCATAAATAAGGAATCACAAATTTGATTTTTAAAGAGTAAGATAACCAGGGGGTGTCTCAACAGAAAGATTTGCCAAACTGGCTTCTGCATTGTACCTAATTCCTTATTAAAATGTCTTATAAATTGATCTAATTCAGCTCTGTTACATCTGTGAAACCTCAGTGATTTCAGCAAGATTGTACAGGAATGTAAACAAGGGCAGAATTTTTCTATTCAGTTAGGAGGATTACCAGTTGTCTCGCTTATTCTATTACTTTTAAACTTAGTTTTAGAGCACTGGTTTCATCTCTATTTTGTTTGATATTTGACAAGCCATTTGCATTCCTCCCCTTCCACTCCCCCTCCCCCAGTAGCTGCCCCAGGTCACCACCCAAATCCTCTGTATCCCCTCTCCCCACATCCTCTCCAGGTCACAACTCCAACCCAGACTCTGCACCTCCTCTTATACCCTGCCCCCAGGCCAGAATACTTTCCTGAACACACATCCCTCCTTGACTCTGCACCCCATTCCTCTGCCCCATGTCACCACTCAAACCCTTTGCATCCTCTTTCCCCCCAGGTCACAACTACCTCCCAGACACTGCACATCCTCCTATACCCCTCCCCCAGGCCAGAATCCTCTCCTGCACCCATAACCCCTCCTGGACCCTGCACCTCAAGCCCCAGATCATAACCCCATCCATCACCCAAACTCCCTCAGACCACACACTCCCTCCTGTACCCCAGTCCTCTATCCCAAGCTCCTTTCTGCAATCCCACTCTCCATCCCAGACCCCTGTGCTCCCTCCACAGAAACGTGGTTCTTGATCACTTACCAAACTCTTGGAGTGGCCCCTTGTGGCGTAGTGGGGGTGTGTCCCCCTGCGCTGTGATGTGTGATTACCACTGACTCACCCACATGTTGTGATGTAGTGTCAGTACCTTGCTGGTTGCTGTGCTGGGGTTGTGGGCTGTGCTGGGGTTGAACGACCCCTACTGGCCTCTGCCTGTGAGCACTACCCAGCAGGTGGGCTGCCTAAGTCATGTAGACAAAGACCCAAGGGGTCAGACGAGTTGGGGCAGCAAGGGAACTAGGGAAGTGAGTGTTCGGGGGAAGGGTCAGTCTTGGGCTGGAAACATGATGGAGACGGCCTAGGGAGGGGGCTTGGAGACTAGGGGCTGAGGCACCCCGCCTTAAGAGTTCTGGGGTATCCTAGCCCCCCTCCTATTGCCACATCACGTCTATGCTGTGCTGTATTCTGGAAACTCAATAAACCCCTCTCTACTCTGCTGGCTGGTGGAGACTGTTCTGGCTGCTATGAGGGTGCAGGATTGGGGGAAACCGTAATATCCCCCATTAAAAATTATTGCCCACCCCGATCTAGACAGTGGTTAGTCCTGCTCTGAGGGCAGGGGACTGGACTTGACGGGACCTTGAGCAGTCATCCAGTTCTAGTATTCTATAAAATTATAACAATTTTTAAAGAAGCCTTAAATAAAGATTAACTTCATCAAAATAACACTGTGTTTTTGAAAAATACAATCAATTAAATAAAGCATGTACATTTTCCTTTTATTTAAAAAATGTAATTGAATTAAGGACCCAAGCAACTCTGGGTAAATCTCCTAGTACATTATAAGAAAAGAGCATGACTTGGTTACTAACACTCCGATTTTTATTTTTTGTTTTATTGATCCCTGTATACACCAATGCACTTTGTGTATATGGTTGTGCAAGGATGGCAGGTCTGAAT